CCTGGATGCTTCATTTGATTGAGGACATTGATAATCTAGAGCATGTCTTGAATAGAACAAATGGGATGGTGAAAGGACTAGAAACCCTTCCATATGAGGATAAAGAAACTAAGACTGTTTAGCCTGGAAAAGAGCAGACTTTGGGAAGGACATGACAGGTATTTTCAGGTATTTGAAAGGCTATCATACAAGAGAGGAATTAGATTTTTTTTTTCTGATTAGCCCTAGGAAGCAAAACGAGGAGCATTGAATGAAAGTTGTGGAAAGACAGATTACAGATCAGTGTGACAAGAAATGTCCTAGCAATCAGAGCTAACGTCCAAATGTGGACGTGGGCTGCCTTGGCGGTTTATTGGATTCCTCATCACTGAGGCTGGATAACCACTAATCAAGGAATAGGATCGTAGAACTAGAGCTTGAAAGCACCTCAAAAGCTCTCTTGTCCAGTGCCCTTATTTTACAGCTGAGGAAACTGAGACCCAGAGAGGGTAGGTAATTTGCCCAGGGTCACTCAGTTAATACGCATCAGAGAAAGAATTGGAATTGAGGTCCTTGCACTTTTGAGATTCTGCGTGTATATACTTGGGTTTGGCCAACTTCATGCATCTGATCATTTTTAAAGGCCCTGCCTTTTGGCCCGTGTGGGAGTACAAATGCTATTTCTAGTGGGAGTTTTGTTTAGTTTTCTTTTGATACAGACACGTAGGATCGTTGGTGTCATTGATGTTGCAAGCATCCATCTCATTTTGGTTGTTTTGAGAGTCTCCAAAATCAAATATACAAACTCTCCTGCTTTCTGCCCTTCAGTTTGTAAGTAAATTTATGTAATATTTTTTTTCCTCAGGTGGAATGAGTGCAATAGAATTTTCTGAATCACAATAAACCGTGGATTCTGTTTTACCCTTCCTGAGCCACGTGGTCTGGTTCAAGGAAATGAAATATCACCCTAAATTACTGGTTTACCAGTCTGTCCTTGTGAGAGAGTGTTATGCACACTGACAGGCGCCCCGAGCAAAGCCGTCTACCGTTATCACATTGCATACTTCATTATTTGTCACATTTGAGGAAATCATTCTTGATTCCCATGACCTGCAAATTATTTTCGAGAGCAGAATAAGTTCTAGATGTTTTAATAACTTCTCTTCTTGAACTATTCACTTCTTTTGGTTGAGTCATTTCAGTCAATGAGCATTATGTTTTCTCATTGGTAAGCAGGCAGTATAGTAAAAGGGAAGGAGGCTTGGTTCTCGTGTCAAAGGCCCTGGGTTCAGGTCTTGCCTCTGATGCCTACTTGATCTGTGTGGCTAACCACTTAACCTCCTGGGGTGTCAGTTTCATCATATGTAAAGTAAAGGGATTGGAATAGGGAGTCTGTGAGTTCCCTTCCAGTTTGAAGTCTATGATACTGTGTTTCATCATCAAAGCTATTCCAGTATTTGAGTACCATTTAATTTTTATTCACATGGAAAGAGAACAACACGAGGTGAATTTCAGAGTTGAGACATCTAGCCCATGGGGTCTGTGAATGTGCCTTCCTTGAAAAAGAGCTATGGTGGGTTCATCCTTTGTGTGTTCACTTGTTTCAGTCATGTCTGACTCTTCATGACCCCATTTGGGGTTTTCTTGGCAAAGGTACTGAACTGGCTTGCCATTTCCTTCTCCGCCTTGTTTTACAGATAAGGAAACTGAGGCCAACAGGGTGAAGTGACTTGCCCAGGGTCACAGAGCTGGAAAGTGTCTGAGGTCAGATTTGAACTCATAAAGAAGAGTCTCTGTGACTCCAGGCCCTGCGCTTTATCCACTGAACCACCTCGCTGCCCCATCATCCTACTTTGAAGTTTATTTTTCTAGGAGTAATGATGATTCTGTTATGCTTTTGCCCATTTCTCTTTTGGGGACATCTGGACCAATGATTTCTTGAGTATGGGTAACTCCCAATGAGGAAACCTCCTATACTGATGCCACTGAGCACCTCTTCTGCAATTTATAGCTATAGAGACTTACCTGGGGCACAAAAAAAGTTGTGTATCCTGCCCAGGGTCACACAGGTAGTATGGGCCAGGGTGAGATTTGAAGGTAGGTCTCTCTAACTCTGAAGCCTTGTATCACTCTTTCTCCCTTTATAACCAATGTTCCTTACTTATAAGTTATCCAACTTAGCTAAGCATCAGAACAAATCTTAGAAGAGGAAGTCAGGCCTAATAAAAGGGTCATTGGGCTTCAAGTCCCAGATTCAAGTTCCAGCTCTGATATTTACTAGGTAGTACTGTATTGAAATCAGCTTCCTTAACTGCATGATACTTGCAATAACTATCTCCGTAGGAATGTTCTGAGGAACTGTTTTTGTGAATAATGAATCCCTATTGTTTTGGGAAAGTTGCTGCTGCTCCTGCTTCTTGCTGGTCTAACCTTCCACCCTCATCTCATCAGAATGGAGGAAAGTAACAGAAGTCAGGGCACTGACCTCAAAGTCTTGGGCTGTGTTCCCATTTCTGAGCAGCTATTAGAATGTAGGTCTTGCGCAGGCCTGTTGTTGATTCCCCATCTGTAAAATAGGGCAAATTATTATTCATAAAACATTTGGAAAATCTCACCCAAGAGGTGTTATTTAAACACAAAAGTCTCTCTCCTTTGGTGCTGTTAATAAGTGCTAATTATAAAATGTAGCTCTTCAAATATGAATTTGTTCCACTTCATTCAGTACCTTTTTTTTTTAAATTTGACCTCTCTGATGTTATAGAGTAAGGACACAAATCCCGATATTTTCAGATGATTGAAAAATGAGAAATCTCACAGGTATTTGTGTGTAAATACAGGAGGACTTCTCATAAAATAGACATGTCCCAGGAAAACAATTTGTAATAGGAATTTTTGGAAAAATCAGTTTTCCTATTGATTATCATTGTAAAGTTAGGCCCTCAAGTGTGGCCCTTTGACTGAATCCAAACTTCACCAAACAAATCCCCTTAATAAAAGGATTTGTTCTGTAAAATTTGGACTTTCTGAAAGCCACACCCAAGGACCTAGAAGGCTACATGTGACCTCGAGGCTGTAGGTTCTCCATCCCAACTATCAGTAGTACATTCTATTTCTTCAGTATTTCAAGGATCTCTCATTTCATCCTTCCACGAAGGTAGACCACTCCCCCTTTACACCTTAGCAGATGGTTTCTGTGAGTCTCTGTAGCCAAAAATAATCAATCACCTAATGACTGACTTTCTAGTGATGGGTCTCTGAACTTAGCTTGGCTGGTCCTCATTTGACAGATATGAAGTCCATGGCTTAGGTAGACCTTTTTAGCATGGTTGGACTTGTCAAAGCTGGTTCTACTCTACTGAGTCACTGCACCACAATGAGACTATCAGAAGATGACTTGGGATTGTTTTATTTCCCCATTAGGTTACATCCCTTATTAGATTCCAGAGTGGTGCCTCTCCTTGCCACCTCTGTTTGTGCCAGGGCCTCTCAGGCACCAAGGGAGCCTTCAGCGAGAATATTAAATCATAAACATAATCATTAATCAATGTTAATCGTGTTGGTTAGTAGCCAAATGCCATATGCTACCCCAAATCATCTTTGGAATAATCACACCTGGGCTATGTGATTCGTGCTTGTCAGATACTAAGAACCATCCAAAGCTAGTAGACCAGCCACAATCCAAGTTCTTCCCTGGATTCTATTGGTTCTTAAACCAAGGACCCTTCCTCTGCTACATAAATCCCAGCCACATTCACTCTGGTCTTTGGATTTTATTATTCTTAGATGGAAAGTAAAAAAAGCATTTATTAAATATGTGACAGACACTGTGTTAAGCACTATACAAATATTCCTCATTTGATCCTCACAAGTAAGTCTTCATGTAACAGATCTTGCCTATATAAAAAAATCACACATTATAGATTTAGAGCTGGAAGGGGATTTTGAGATCATGTAGCCTAATCCTCTTATTATACAGATAAAGAAATTGAGGTTCGGAATGACTTGTCCAAGGTCAAACAAATAGTAAGTGAGAGAGTCAGAATTTGAACCCTGGTTTTCTTGGAGGCAGCTAGGTGGCTCAATGGATAGAGTGCTAGGCCTGGAGTCAGGAAGACTGGATATCAAATCCAGCCCCAGACACTTACTAGCTATGTGACCCTGGGCAAGTCACTTAACCTCTATTTGCTTTAATCCACTGGAGAAAGAAATGGCAAACACTCCAGTATCTTTGCCTATGGACCGTATTGGCATGTTGCAGTCCACAGGGTCATGAAGAGTTGGACACAGCTGAAGAACTTCCTGGCTCCAAGTCTGGAATTCTGTCCACTACATCATGCTATACCATCCACATATAACGATAGGATATTTTGACATATCCCCAAAGATTTTTTTTTTTTTTGCAATTACTTTCCTCTTAGTCTGTTTTCCCTTTGCATACAATAAACACTAAACATATTCATAGACTTTGCTGGCTCTTGTGCAGAGATGACATGTTAGGGAAGATGAAAGAAAACAACTGCACCCAGATATTTCATGCATTTGTTGAAAACCCCATTAAACTGATGTGTTTCATAGTTGTATAGTTCTTTGAGGAGTGACTGGCAGCGTAGCTTATATAATTAGCTGTGTCATAAGATACTTCTTGTCCAGGAGATGTAAGCACCTAAACCTCTGCACCCACTGACGTAGATTGCCTGTGGTGAGGAGTTATACCACGCTGGAATAGCAGCAGCTAGCTGTCATGGTTACCGTGGAAGCCTGGCCTTACCCAAAGGGAAGGGAGCGAGGCACTGTGGGAAGTGGATAGAGCACCGTGGACCTGAGTGCTAATCCTGACACTGCTCTTTACCACCTGTTTGATGTTGAATAAGTCTTTGAGTCTTTGACATCTCTTAAGGTCCCTTCCAGCTCTAAATTTACAATCCTATGAACTTAAGGCTATGATCCTTAAGGCTATTCTTAGAGAAGAGATTATTTTGCAATCTAAACACCTTTTTTATCCTTTTCCTGTCTCTTCCTAGGCACAGCACACCCATGATGCCATCACAGAGGCCGCCCAGCTGATGAAGGAAGCTGTGGATGATATTATGGTCACCTTGAATGAAGCCGCCAGTGAAGTTGGAATGGTGGGAGGAATGGTGGATGCAATTGCAGAAGCCATGAGCAAGGTGGGTTCTTTTTATCTCAGGAAGCTAGCTCATCATCCTTTCTCTCTCTCTCTCTCTCTCTCTCTCTCTCTTAATTTTGATGAGGCAGTCTGAGTTTTAAGTGACTTGCCCAGGGTCATATAGCTACTAAGTGTCAAGTATCTGAGGTCAAATTTGAACTCAGATCCTCCTGATTCTGGTGCTCTATCCCCTGTGCCACCAACCTGCCCCTCGCCATCCTTTTTTGATTCTTGATTAGAGACGGTGAGGTGGTACAGTGGATAGATCCTGGGCCTGGATTTAGGAAGACCTAACTTCAAATCCAGCCTCAGACATTTACTAGCTGTGTGATCCTGGGCAAGTCACTTAACCGTCCCTCAGTTTCCTCATTTGTAAAATGAGCTGGAGAAGGAAATGGCAAACCCCTGTAGTATCTTTTTCAAAGAAAACCCCAAATGGGGTCACAAAGAATCAGACATGACTGAAACAACTGAAGAACCACAACAACAAAGTTCAGATCCAGCCTCAGACACATATTAGCTGTATCACCTTGGGCAATTCATGTAACCTCTGTTTCCCTCAGTTTCCCCAACTGTAAAATGGGGATAATGATAGTACCTGTCTCCTAGGGTCAACTAGGATAATATTTGTGGAGCAGTTACGACAGTGCCTGACACATAGTAAACACTATATAAATGTGCTTATCATTATTCTCATTAATTTCCCTTGTATTTCTTTTGTTCTTACCCTCAGACACTTTTTCTTTGGAGACTTCCAGCTTCTCATTGCTGATTGCTGCTCAGTGTTATTGATTTCAAATCATATATCCGACAGATAGCTCATTCTTCTCGTTGTAAACATGTTCATCTTTTTCCAGTGGATCACTGTATTCACATTAGGAATAGTGATGTAAGGAAAAATGATGATAGTTGAGTTGGTGGTTAGGTGGAGAATCTACTCAGAGACTTGTGGTGACGTATCTCCTACTGAATTCCAGAAGATAACACTCACATTGGTGTATCAGGTTAACATTCATTAGTTCTAATAATTGTTCACGTACATCTAATTGCCACCGTTTGATATCATACCCAAGGAATTTAGGCGACCATAATGGAAGTCTTGTCTTGAAACATCCGATTGAGTGCGTTAAGATTTTCAGGATAATAAGTGGTCATTAATTGCTAATTTAGAGAAGATTTGTCACTACTGTATCAAAAAGTGGATATTCTCTGAAACTTGATAGCACTATAATTAGAATAATTATCCTTAAACATTATGTAGTAATTATTCCTTATAGTTCAGACAAAGTAATATGCCTGAATTAGGATGTTACAGTTCCTTTTGAGGACCTCTCTTGCATGTCTTGTCAAAGCACGCATTTACCTTCTGGAGTTTTGAGTTGGTCTCTTGCTTTAAAGTTGGTCAGTTTTGCAGAAATTGAGTATGATATTCTTCTTCCCAGGGGTCCTGGGACTAAACACTCCCAGCATCTAATATACCATGTATATATCTTGGAATGACATTTAGGAATATAGCGTTAAATATCTGTTTATTTCTTCACTGAACCGCTAAGATTCCAAATGTTGGCACCTCTCCAGTGATTAAAAGAAAGATTTCATAAATTTCTGAGAAATGAAAAAGAAATAATTTTAATGTTTTCATAATTTCAGCGTCTTATCTAGCTGAATCAGTCTTTTTGACTGAGCCCTTTATTAATCTAATTCCTACTACCTAATGTCAGAAATATATTGCCTGTTTTATGGACCCAGGAACCTATGAAAGAATGAAGGAGTAACCAGCAAGCTTGGGGAAAGTCTGGTTTTACCCAACATTATTGGACTAGGACATGCTAATGTCATCACAAACGTTTGCTGATTTCCCCTGTGCACACTTAAAACAACCTTTTAACTGGGAGAGAACAACAAAGCAACTCCCGCCAACATCAGTATAAGTGAATCCTTTCAGGGAGTAATATTGTAAGGAAATTTGGACACCTGTAAAGAAAAAAGGAATTTATGTCAATGTTTTATATAGTCATAAAAGCTCTGGTTTGTGTTGCTTGGTAAAAAAAAAAAAAACATAGAATCAGTGTTTAAAATATAACAGTGATCAGCTTGACAAAATATGAACTTAGAAATTTTTGCAGTATCTGAAGTTGGTTCTAGCAAAGGACTCAAATCATTGATCTGCCATACTTCTTCATGAATAGATTGTAGTCTGCTAGGCTAATATTCTGTCTCTGAATTCAGATATCATCAGGACTCAGAATCTTGTCTGTTGCCAATTGGTTAAGTCAATTGGCAATTGGTTAAGTCAGGATAGTACTGGTGTTTAAATGGGACCACTGAGGACATGAAGCCTTAATCCAATGCGCTAACTTTAAGGGTGATAATTTCATTCATTGGTTGTGAAGATTAGAGGAGGGGGTGACTTTTGGCATCCCTCAGACCTGTCATGTTCATAAAGGAGAACTTTGCCCTTTAGTCTGTAGTATTATTGAATTTTGGGAACTAGTTAGATAGACATAGTCAAAGGACATATATGTGTGTGTGTGTTTGTATATGTAAATGTGTATATATACACATATGTGTATATGTATATTTTATGTATATGATTCATTTGAGTTATTTTATTTCTGAAAATCTAGTGATATAATTCCAGAATGTCACATAAATTTCTAATATTTTTTGTAAGAATGGGAGAAAGGATGGAACCTGATGCTGCAATTTTCTTATTAAATTAATATCACTGGAATGTGAGAATAATTTATAAGGTTTCTCTTAACAGAATATTTCAACCTTTAATAATATAAGCAATTCCATTGCTATGTTGTTATCCCCACTTTGAGTGATTAAACTGCATTAGCCTCGCCTCTTATTCTTCACACATTGCACTGAGTCAGCGATAGAGCTATTTGGCGATGTGTCCGTTTTTTGATAGGGAAATGGATGGTCCAGCTGGAGTTGATGTTGATGTCATTAGTAAAGATTACATTCCAAGTAGTGATGATGATTATATACTCTATATTATACCACATGTTTGCAGTGTTCTTTATTGCCATGTTTTATTCCTCATTAAATAACAGCACTAATTAATGCCTTCTATCTAATGAGCTCCTAAATGCTTTTTTTGCTTCCACTTTCTTCCTTCATCAAACCCATCCTGCACACAGATGCCAAATTAACCATCTGAAAACACTACTCACATCTTGTTGCTTCCCTTCTTAAGAGCCTATAATGCTTCCCCCCACCCCCCACTGCCTACCATGTCAAATCTGTGTTCTTCTGCCTAATTCTTCAAGGCCATCCATAATTTCACCACACCCTTTCCTCATTTATATTGATTTTGTCTTGGGGTCTATAATATTCTTATATGTAGCTCTTCCTCTACCTCTCTAACCTCTCTCTATCACTGGCTTTTTTTCTCCTGTCTTTAAAGGTGAGATTCAATACTAAGGAGACCATTAAGATTTTTGCAGGAAGGGACATTCCCTAAGTCTCTCATTATCCCCAGTATCTCCCTTCACAAACCTCACATTTCCTTGTACAGACTGAGCCCCATTCTCATACATTATTTGTCTAAAATGCCCTCAAGGGCAGTTACTAATAAAACTATTGGGATCACTTACGATTCCATTTAGGGCATTGTGGTATGATTCTGTAACTCTGTGTCCTAACAAATAAAGTTTTCTCATAATGATGATAATCATTCAATTAAATTACTTTCCACTCACTCTAGCTGGATGAAGGCACTCCTCCAGAACCAAAGGGAACTTTTGTTGACTACCAGACAACAGTGGTGAAATATTCCAAAGCCATTGCTATAACAGCACAAGAAATGGTAAGTGGGGAAGGTACCTCCCCAAGCACTGTTGGATTTGTTTATTTTTAATTCCCTACTCTTTACCACCCAGTCACCAAAGCCTGCTTCCATATTGGGAAGACAGAGGGAGTGTGTTTCTCCGGGTTGTTTTTGTTTTTTGTTTTTTGTTTTTTTTTCCGGGGGTTGGGGGGGAGGGAGTTAACCAGCAAAGACACAATTCATGGCAGGTATCTGCTGACCTTCTAGCTACTTGGTGCTCTAGAACAGTGGTATGAAACCCCTATGGGCCACATACTGACTTAGAAAACCACAATTTAACATTATCTACGTTGAACTTTTATTTATTTTGTTAAACATTTCCCAATCACATCTTAATATTTCAGGCCACATGCCCTCCCACTCAGGAGTTTTGTGAGCCAGCCCAAGCCTATGAGTTTAACACCTTTGTTATAGAGAACCAAGTCCTGTTGTGCTGGAGTTAATCCTGTATGGAAACAAATTCCCCACACCAGCATTAGAGAAAGCTATGCTATGGGCATGGAAAGGAGAGAGAGATGTGAACAAAGGAAGGAAGATGGAGGAAGTCAGTCAGCAAGCATTTATTTGTTATTTATTAGGCATACTGTGTGCCAGGAAGAAAGGGAAATTAAGGAAGCAGAAGAAAAAGATTTTTCTGGTACCTGAATTAAGCAGATTACTACCCTTGTGCAATAAATTTTACTGTTTTGTTTTGTTTTGTTTTTTTGTCAGCTAAGGCAAAAAAGGAAAACTTTGTATATGTAGTTTTGATTTTTGTTTTTGACGAGACAAAACACATCTGTTGAGATGGAACTTTTCCTGGAACTAAATTCAAGATGAAGTTAATCATCTAGGTCCTTAGATAAAGGACAGCTGAGTAACCTAATAGAAAATGGTTTTATAAAAGTAGACCTTGGTTTTGTAAAAGATAAGTGACTACTGCTTAAATAGAATAAATAAGACTACATGCAAGAAAAGAGTTACATCCAACCAATGAAGATATGACAGTCTAGATGTTGGGTTTAAGTTACATTTAGTCAGTTATAGCTATCACATACCCTTTTATTTGCTTGACACATAAAGCCACACTTGGGCATCTAGCATCTTTTTGTAGCCAGACCCAAACCATTCTCTTAACCTAGCCCTGGTCTTCCATAAGGTCCAAGGTCCCATATCTGAAAGACTTTGTCATGTGAACTTCTGTCCACTAGAGGCTGACCTAAGACCAACAAAGTCTTTCGCCTCCCTCTGGCTGCTCAGTTTACAGCCCTGCCTGGTCTGTAGTATGGTGGGGTTTTTTTTTCCTTAGGGTAGAAAGGAGGGGCAGTGTACAACCTAATGTAATGGAAAACATTTGGGAATCAAGGCCAGAGGTGGTGATTCTCATGGGAGTGATGTGTTTGACAGAATATAAGTTGGTTCAGACGGTTCTCAAGCTTGACTTTTGGAGAGAATCACAATAAACTATGGGAATTCGTTTTGCTAACTAGTTAGAGGGTTCTGCCTGTCCCCCAGATGTCCCTGCAGTATCTCCCTGGCCAAAGTGCCATGCTGACTTGACTTAACTCTTAATGTCTGTGATCTTGATGAAGCCCTAGCTTTATGCTTAATCCCCACTTATGACACAGCTGGTGCAAATACTTTTTTGAGTTTCCAGAAAATTATAGCCATATGCCTTGGGGTTAGCCCCCAAGTCATTGTGTTTCATTTTGACGCAAAGAGAAATGAAGCAACTCTTTGGCTCCCCTTGTTCCACTTTGGGCCTAATGTTCATTTCCTGGTGACCCACATGGTAGGTCTGAAACCTAGCAACCATTTTTGTATAAACATATGTCAAGCTCCGAATGGAGAATCCTATACGGCTTCTCTTGCTTAAGAATTTTATTATTTGTACCACAGAAAGGTGGCTATCATCTCTAAAACTAAGAGGGAAAAAAGAATGTAGGGGAAAGCAACTTTTCCTTCTGGAAAGGGGAATGAAAGGTCATTTCTGGGAGGTATTACTAAAACAATATTTGGGGGGAAATAGAAGGAATTTAGAAGGGAAGTAACTATAAACTCATTTAAGTTGAGCAAATTGTAATGAAGTTTTTCTGTAACAAAAGTAACTTGGAAGAAAACTCTTACTCTTCTTGATGCAAAACAGTGGAATTTGACCGTTTTGGTTTGCTGCTTTAATCTCTCTCCTTAATTCATGTCAGAAATCTTATTTCCCCCCAATTCTAAAGGCCTAGAACTGTTTTAGGTTTGGGTTTTTTTCCCCCAGAACATATATTTGTCTTGTGCTTTACTTCCTTGCCCCTCCTTTTCTCACGCCCAACATGATACCTGACCAAAATAAGAAATCTAAACCCCACTGGGCTTATGGAAGTTTGTCTAGGCCCACAGCTAGCCTAGCTCTATGCTGTTCTCCCATTATTCCTATGGAACAGCAATCAACCAGATACTAAAAAGGCCGGACACTTCTAGAATTGAGCCAATAGTGGACCAGCCTCTGGTAGCTGGGGGAGAGGAATTAAGGGGCAGAGAAGGAAATGAGTGTTTGGCACGTGCCCATGCATTCCCTTGCACATTCCTCCGAGTGTGGATTTCCACCTTGTGTTACTGGGCTGGCAGGAGAAGCTAGCTGGCTGCTGCTGATCATGGTCGCATCGTCCTTGAGTCAGGCCGAGGAGGTTATGCTGAAGAAATGGAAAGCCTGGCCTGTTCTCTTTGCACATTCTCAATGCTGAGCATGTTAGCTGTGTAGCCTCCCCCAGCCCTGTGCCTGCTGACATAAGGGGAGAGCAGCCATGGGGTGGAGAGAAAGTAAACAAAGCATGTCTGTCTGGGTTTGGCTTTGCACACAGTTATCTTCAGAAACCGTAACCCTAACGCACCTGTTGCAGGGTTAAAAAAGAAGATCATTTGGCTTCCAAGTGGTATTAACCCATTATTCTTATGCATTTTTTATATGTGTGTTTGTGTGTCTTGCTTGTTTTCTTTTTCCAGATGACTAAGTCGGTTACTAACCCGGAGGAGTTGGGAGGACTTGCTTCACAAATGACCAGTGACTATGGGCATTTGGCCCTCCAGGGCCAGATGGCAGCAGCTACAGCTGAACCAGAAGAGGTCTGCCATCTTAAGACCTCTATTTTAACTAGTGAATGCACACTGATGTTCTTACCCAGATTACTCTCCACAGCTCAGTTTCACTCTATGAGACAGGGGCCACATAGTCAAAGCCAGGTTTATTTCCCCCCTTTCTTTCCCCCTGGGTCTTGGATAAAACAGCTGCAGGAGTTCCCTGAGCCTGATTTCCTTTCTAGCCACCTGGTTGGAGAAATAGATTGCCCCACTCTTGGACCTCCTAAGACCATGGTAAAGTGAGTATAGCTTGTAAACTCCCAGATAGAAGAGGTCTGTTTTCTATACTCTTCCATGTCACTCACCATCTAGGCCTATTGAATGCTATGACATCTGTGAGCCAGGGGTTGCCTGATAAAAGAATAGGGGGTGGGAAAAGTCTGTGCTGTCTAGACATATATGCCAGAGTGATCTCTCTCCACGATTCTCTCTCTCCTCCTCCCCAGAACCAGTTATCTTAGTTCACTTATCATTTATACCTTTGCGTTTTTTTTTTCAAAATATGATAGAATTATAGGATATCATAATTGGATGGGGCATCCATGGCCATCTAGTTCAACCCATATCTGAAAAAAAAAATCCTTTCTACAACATACCAAACCCATGGTCATCTTTGCTTAAAGACCTGAAGTGAGAGGGGAAATCATCTATCACTTCCTATGGCAGCCCATCCCACTTATGGATAACTAATCATTAGGAAGTTTTTCCTGACATCATGCCCAAACTTGGCCCTTTGCAGTTTCTTCCTATATCTTCCAATTCTGATATCTGGAGCTAACAAAATATGGCAGACCCCTCTTCAGTAGAACAGGTAAAGAAACCTATGATACAGCCCCGAGTGAGGGAGTTTAGCCGCTCCCAGCTATGTGCGACCTACTTTCTCTGAACAAGTTACCACCAAAGCCACTGACTGTGCTGTTTCTAAAATCCAGATCAGACCTGCATTCTGTGCCTTAAGGGGGCTCCTCTTTGTCTCTTGACTAGTACAGTTTTGGCTTCCGTCTAATTTGTTCTCTGTTCTCAGCCAAATCTTCCCCATCCTGATTCAAGGCAGCCATGTGCATCTCCCCAGTCAGAGCCTAACTATAATTTGGATTTCTTGATATTGGGTCAAATGTCTTCTCTAGTCATCTCAGAAGTCACCCCCATGGTGGCTGTGCTCACAATGAACAACTTGTAAGATAAGTAGAGAAACTTCTGGCCTAATATGAAATCCACTACTTCTCATTCTGGACATGTAGAATCTAATTGGATGATTCAGTGATTGCCTTAGGTGGTAGGATTCTTTAGGAAAATACAGATAGACCAGACTTTTACAGGGAAAAGATCCACAGAATTTTGGAAGGTAAAGCCTGGCAGTAGTTTGGCCCTAACAATCAATGTTCCCAGAAGGAAAAATATTTTTTTTTCCCTTAATAGTATTTTTTTCTCGATTACATGTAAAGATAGTTTTCAATATTCATTTTTGTGAAATTTTAAGTTCCAAATTTTTCTCTCTCCCGCCTTCCCAAGACAGCAAGTAATCTGATATAAGTTATACATGTACAATCATGTTAAACGTGTTTCAGGGAAAATATTCTAAACCTGTAATATAACAAAATGGTGTAGATTACAGCTGTCATTGGGAAGATGAAAGTAACTAACTGCATTCCTGAGACAGAAGACTGTGAATTATCTTTCCTTTTGCCTTTATGATTAAGGTTAGTATCCCCTGAGTTACTAAATACTGGCGTTTCTTCCCATTTGGTTTTTTTTTTTTTTAATATGTTAACTCAGATACAAAATATGCTTCAGAAAGAAACATAAAAGTAAAAGTGAATGTATGGCATGATAATGGCATGTAATTATATTTGTGTAAGCATGGAAAAGCAGCATGTCATAATCCAGCAGTTTTCCAGCTTTTTGGTCTCAGGACCACTTTAACTTTCTTAAAAACTGAGGACCCTCTCCAAAGAGTTTTTGTTTATGTGGGCTATGTCAATTAATATTTACCATATTATAAATTAAAACCTTTTAGTATTAATACAAAAGTAATTCTGTTACTACAAAAACAGTTTTGACCTCATGGACCCCCCCCTGAAAAGGAAGGTCCCTAGACCTCACTTTGAGAACTAAGGACATAGTGGCTAAGAAGCCAGCCTCGGGGTCAGGAAGACCTGAGTTCAAATTCTGCCTCTGATCACCTCCTCACTGTAACCCTGGGCAAGTCACTTAACCAGTAACCTAGGAAACTCTCATATTCATTAAAAAAAAAAAAAACAAAAAAAAAAACGTACAGAATGTGCCAAGTGGCATCGGCAGACATTTTCTTCTTTGGAAGTTCCTTATTCCTCTGTAATCATGTCCAGTACACTCTAATTTTTTTTATTTATATGTATTATATATAATTGGTATAATATAAAAAATCAACTGAACCCAAGGTTCTCGGAGTAGCCACAATTCTGAATTTTGGTATTTGAACATGAGTTTTCATATATTAAACTATAGCAGGATTAATAATAGAATAACATATTAATATAAGTCCCTCAACCCTGCCAACTCCCACCATAAAGAGCCCTGCTGGAACAAATCAGTGATTCAAGTCAGTACCAAGACTAAACTGATTCCAAATTTATGCATGAGACTTCTATTGATACTTCTGCTATGAAGGCTAATTATTTTAAGAAAAATGGCTTGTCTTCAGAACATAATATGTTTGACTTTCATAAAGTGAAAAGAATTTTTACATTGCAGTAAGAGAGGACTTGGCTAAGCAAAAGAAAGAACTGCCATACTTGAAGAGGAGTTTAATATTAATATTAATTAATATTAAGTGGTAAGTAGCAGTGTGGTAGAGTAGAAGGAGTATTGAACTTGGAGTCAGCAGATCTGGTCTGGAGGCCTGCCCCCTGCTTGTCCTAGCTGTGAGACTGTGGGTAAATCACTTAATCTCTATGAGCCTCAGTTTTTATCATTTTTTAAATGGGGCTAATACTACCTGGGATACATAACTCCATTTCGTAAACTTTAAAACACCACATGGGTCTGAGCCATTATATTATTGCTCAAAGAGTTTTAAAACATCTCTCCCCAAAGACCTTTAAAAACACATATCAGCCACCATCTCTCTTGGTTAGCTTAGGTGTTGATCATTCTGAGACATTGAGTTGTAGACCATATGAACTATGGGGTCTTTTGCAGTCTTAAGAGTCTACAAACCACCCACCCTCTGTAAAAAATGGACAGAATTTTTTATTGTAATGTAGGCAAAAGCAAAATATATAGTAATGAAAAAGTCAGGAAAGGAAATTATCTGCTAAAAATACAGCTGCAAATTACTGTAGATATTGATCTCTCAAATATTTTTCAGTTTATAGAGGCTGATGTTTTCATTAACTTTTCATTTTGTTGTTTTTTTCACCATCACATCTTGGGTTGCATTTTGCATTCCAGACAAAAGAACAATGTAACCTGGAGTGAAAAGAAGTTGGGGGTAGGAATATAATACTACCAGTGGTTTGCTAAGGGAAATTCCTTGTGCATGCTTGCCAGAGACATTAAAGGGAGGGGGCTGGGAGATCCCTGAAGCCACACTGCTTTCTGTTCCCAAGAACTGGGAAACATTCATGTGCCTAAGAGGGCCCTCTATTATGGCATGTGAAAACATTTAAATCCAATCCAAATAAACAGCCCCAGAACCCCATTCTTCAGAGTCCCAAGGCATACTTTGCAGAGTCAACTTTCTGCCCCATTCCATGACTATATCAAACCAAATGGAATAGAGTGGCCCTTTAGGCACCAAAAGGAAGCTTTACCCTCTTGGTTTTCAGTGGAAAAATTCATGTTTACTTCAGAATATCACAGTGAGAACCTCTTTGCCACCTCAGGATAACTAGCAATTTTCTGGTATTCAGTGTATTAAAAGCAGGCCCTTAGGTTTCCTGTAACCCCTCTTCCCCAAAATGAGCAGGAGATTAGCAGTAGAATTCTCTATAAGTTCTTGCTCAAAGATACTTTATTAACAATTGTGAAAGTAATTAATTATTTATGTCCTTCACACATACTTCCCCATTTCCATCAATTTCTCTGTCTTTAGAGAAAGGGTTCTTAACTTTTTGTATGTCATGGATTCCTCTGGCAGTTTGGTGAAGCCAATGGACCCTTCTTAGAATAATGTTTTTAAATGCAGAAAATAAAAAATACATAGGACTACAAAGAAAACCAATTAAATGAAATACAGTTATCAAAATATTTCTTTAAAAAGTTCACAGACCTCAGATTAGGAACCCCTGCTATGGAACCTTAAAAGAAGTTACAGTAACAATGTCCTACATAAATCTTTTTTTTTTTTTGAGCCTTACTTAAACTCTGTGAGGTACATAGTACAATTATTATACCTATTTTGCAACTAAAGAAACTGCCTCAAAAGAGCCAAGTTATTTGGTCAGGGTCACACTGCTACTAATGACAACCAGCACTTTTTATTAAGATCAACAAGCGTTTATTAAGTGCCTACTGTGCGCCAGATAAGCATCACGAAAGATGCTGAGGATAGCATGACGAAGAATGAAAGAGCCCCACCCTCAGAGAGCCCAGATTCTAACACCAGACTGCCTCTCTAACAGTCAGATCCACTGCACTTTAAAGTTGACAAGATATTTGCCCAAGAGGAACCCTGCAAGAGAGGGAATTCTCAGCTGTTGTTATTATTTCCCATCTTACAGATGAGTCTCAGAAAGGATGAGTGACAGACCATGGCTGTAGGTTCATAAATTTAGAACTGTGTCAGACTTCAGAGCTGGTCATCTGTGTAGTCCCTTCATCTTACAAATGAGGAAACTGAGGCCTGTGGAAGTGAAATGACTTGACTAAGGTCACACCAATCATTTTATTGGTCCAAGGATTCAAACCCAAGTCTCCTGACTCCTTTCCAAGTGTTCTTTACACCACACACTCCTTTTGCAAAGAACACTGAAGCTAACATTTAGAAAATACCTTCCACTCTC